AGCAAATGGAGAACCATTCCTCTGGTTAATGAGTACAAACAAACTCAAAATCTGGTAAAGAAAGCAACTCGTGATGCAATCCGTACCTATGAAATTAATTTATTTAATGACAAGAAAAACCCAAAAAAAATTTTTGCTTATATTAATAGCAAACGGACTGTAATCAACCAGATTGTATCATTACAATCTATGACTGGTGAAATTAGCAACGACCAATTTTTAATTGCTAACACACTAAACAAACAGTTCCAACTTGTCTTTACCATTGAACCTCACAATCAAACTTTATCTCTTTTCACTAAACAAACAGCTGTATCACTTCCTTACATCTTTTGATTATGACTCTGTTTGAATTTACCTTGATACTCTTGATGATTATAAATCTATAGGTAAAGATCAGATAAGTCCTTACGTACTTAAGCCATGCTCTAACACAATAGCAACTCCACTAGCCAAAAGGCATGGCTTGTAGCAAATGTGACTCCTTTGTTCAAAGGAGGTTCTAAAATGAATCCAAACAATTAAAGACCCATTTCCATTACTTCTGTTCCATGCAAAACGGAGAAAATAGTTAAAAATAAGATAACGCAGCATCTACTGTCTCAAAATCTTAAATCAAATTGTCAGCATGGTTTTATAAACAATAAATCTTGTGTTACAAATTTACTTGAGACTATGGATTTTTTGATCTACAATAAATCACGTTAGCTTCCTGTTGACATTGTTTTCTAGATTTGAAGGCGTTTGACAAAGTTCCTCAAACTAGACTGCTACAAAAGCTGAAATCCTATGGAATTGAAGGTAAAATTTAAAACTGGATTTAAGCATTTCTTTTAAATTATACTCAACGTGTCTAACTTGGAAATGTAACATTGGAATGGTAAAAAGTTACTAGTGGCATTCCTCAAGCCTTAGTTCTTAGTCTAACGCTTTTTCTATCTTCATTAATGATTTACCAGAACAAATTAGTAGCAAAAATATATGCAAAATGTATGCAGACGAAACAAAAATCCTTATTGTGGTCAGCACTAAAGAACAAAAACTGTAATGTAAAATAATGCATTTCAATCAATCCAAATCCGTTCCACACCAATACTTTATTGATGATCATGGCTCAAACAACAGTCTCAACAGAATTCAACTAGAACCAAACTCATCAAAAAGAAACCTTGGTGTTTTAATTTCTGATGACCTAAAGCAAAATTTCCCAAACATCTATTGCTGCAGCCAAGGTTAACAAAATGCTTGGTATCCTAAAACACAGCTTCATAAGCAGATATGCACAATTCTAGAAAAAGCTATATACAACTTTTATACGACCACTTTTAGAATTTTCCATTATCCTATGGTGTCCTTATTTAGAAAAAGATATTTCTGTAATTAAAAGCATTTAAAGGCATGTTACAAAAGTACCACAAGAAATGAAGTCTTCTGATTTTAAATCAAGGTGTATCAAACTTGGTCTCACTTCTCTATGCGAACAAAGAAAAAAATTGAACCTCAAAAATTTAAATTAGAGAATAAAATTAAGTTAGTCTACTGGTTTGTTAATCCAATTAACATTCCCCCAGCTATGGATTTTGCATCCGGTCCCATCGTGAAATTAAAAAAAACTGTCAAGTCCGATATTTATTAATTTATTTTTTTAAATTTTAATTCACCTCCTTAAAGCCGAGAAGGCCACAACAGACGAGGAGGCTACTTATTTGTGGTTATAACCCTCTCTCAACTCTATAACTCCGAAACACGAACCTTGATGAACAAGGCCGCTGCGCGGTGAAACGAGTTGAGCGCGGTACTACCAGGGACGTGGTGGGGATTGAACTCAGAACCACTCGTTTATGAAGGGAGCCCTCTACCACAACACCACTACAGCATATAAATTTTTTAAAACCGTGTAGCAAACGCATGGAATACTTTGCCAGACAATGTAGTAAATACTAACTCAGTGAAAAAGCTCACAACTAATTTAGACTGGTATCTAAAACAGTTACCATAGCACATCATTTACCGCGGCTGCTTCAATGCTGCTATACGAACTAGCTTTGCTATTTAATGATGAACTTTCGGTTCATGTATTTTTCCATTTCATCATGTATTGTTCATATATTGTTTCATGTAACTTATTAATAACAACAATAAAAAATTATCAATAAAACAGATGTGTACAATTAATTTGTGTGCACGCAAATTAATAAAAAGGAAAAAAATATTGTAACAATTTTAAAATTTTAAAAATAAAACAAAATTGTAACACATTTTTTTTCATTTTAAGCCATATTTAGCCATAATAAATTTAAGAAAATTTTGCGTCAATTTTTTTTTTCTTTTGAATGTCATATAATAAACACACTAAAACAATAAAACAATCTATATTTTTTTAATCATATTTAACTGGAAAACTTGTACATTTTATAAAAAAAAAATATTAACAATGATAAGAAAACAAAACTAAATAATAAAAAAAAAATTAAATTAACAATATAAATAACAATCCAAAAAAGTAAAATTATTTACTTCCAAAACTAAAGCAAACTTGGAAAATTAACTTAAAACCTTGCTAAAAGAAATAGTCTATATGATATACAACTTGATCATTAAGATAATATCAATAATAAATAGCATATTCTTTGTTTTTATAAGTTCCCTACAACATTGCAGAATTGATTCAAAAAAATTATGAATTTTAAAGTTAGTTTATTTCTGCCACATGTGTCTAGCTGAATTTTAGTTAAACTTTTGTTTTGAATTTGATAGTGCTACGTCAATAAAGTCTCTATTGACACCATGTAAAATAAAAATTTTTCAAGGCAATTTCTACATATTAGTAAAAATCAATTATTAATTTTTTTGGCACGTCTACTTATTAGTAGTGTGAGTACCATGCACTAATCAACATGACAAAAATTTGCAGGCCCCAAATATGAAAATTGTATAGACCATTGGACTCATTTGTAAGCAGCATAAGTTACAGCATAAGTTAGTTTTTTTATTCAGTAATTATATTTTTAAAATAATTTTTTGTTTATAATTACACATCTAATTTGTATTTTTCATGAAATTTAATCAGGTATTAATTTTTATAAACGTTTTTTTAGTTTCTGTAAAAATTGAAAATGTAGCTTATGGCGGTTTGTCTAATAGAACTCTATATGATAGCAGAACTTTTTTGTAAACTTCAATTAATATTTCATTTGTTTTGCAGTTAAAAAATCTTATTTTAAAACAAGTTTAGCTGATTAAAAAACATGTTGTTCTCTTGATACTGTTTAATTGAAAAACTAAATTTGATCACTGGATAAATATGTATTTGTTAGCTTCAACTTACACTTCAAACATAAATTTTATCACTAGATAAATATGTATTTGTTAGCTTCAACTTATACTTCAAACTTAAATTTTATCACTGGATAAATATGTATTTGTTAGCTTCAACTTCCATTTCAAACATAAATATGTATATCACTGGATAACTTGGTTTACTTCAACTTACTAGTTTAATTGTTTAATTTGATTTATTTTTTTGCTGATTTTTCATTTGTTAAAAAAAAAAAAAAAAAAAAAAAAAACACGTATGGATTTAGGTTGGCAAAAAAAGTCAGCAAATACTATAGCGTATATATCTATATATGCTATAGTATTCATATATATGCAGGCTTCAGGAGGAGAAAAAGACTTAGCGGGCATGATGAGTCACCTGTCTTTGCACAAGCACTTGGCATTCGCTTAGAATTTTCTGATATTTTGATAAAAAAGATAATGGAAAAATAAAAATGGTTATAAAAACTGATTAGGTTAGGTATGTTATGATTCTTTATTTCATTCTATAGTGGTTCAAATTTTTTTCAATTTATTTCTTTACTCTCTGACTTTTTTCAGCTAATAGCCTTAGTTGACAAAACTTCCCTATAAATTTGCCATTCAATAAGTTCCACATATTAAATCATGAATCCTTTAAAGTAACATGCCTGGCCATAACTCCATATCAATGTAATATATTCAGGGTAATAAGAGAAGGATTAAAAGATATATTGGGATCAAAACTGACCAGCGAATTTATGATTTCAGAAATAGAAGGTGGAAACTGGTGGAGTTATATCATTGACTTTGGTAATGAGTCAGTTGTTGTTTGTAAATGCAATGTTTCCATCATGCTTTGTTTCATTGTAGTAATTTAATAATAGTTGCTACTTTATCTACTATAGTTTTCAACCATTTTAACTATGAAAATTGGTAATAAATATTGTATTTATGAATTCTTATTTTTCTACCAGCAACTTTTTCTGATAAAAGAATTTGAAAAACCACATAATTAAATAAAAAATTTTAAAAATCAAGCTGCACTTCCTCTTACTTAAAACCATAAAACATTTGCAAATTATATATATATATATATATATATATATATATATATATATATATATATATATATATATATATATATATATATATATATGTATGTATGTATATATATATATATATATATATATATATATATATATATATATATATATATATATATATATATATATATATATATATATACTATAGTTAAATGTATATATAGATAATGTATATATACATTTGCTATACTTGAATGTCTTCTGATATTGGATCATTATTTAAACTTTTCATCTGCTTATTAATTTTTTGCTCTAAAGGAAGCAATATACCAGTTTGTTTAACTATTCTATTTAAAACATTCCAGTGACACCTGTTTGAATTTTGTATAAAACTTAAAAAGGTTTTATTAATGATAATATAGCAATGATAAAATTTGACACTAATTAATATGAATTGCATAGTAATTGAGTAGTGGATTTGCAATTTAACCAGAAGTAACATAAATCTTAAACTTCATAAAAATTTTTGAAGTATAAATTATGTACAGATCTAACATAAATATTTCAATAAGTCAAGTATAAGCGTATCTGAAATAAAAACACAAAGTGAAGGCAAAGTTTGTTTAAACAACCCAACTAAAACACAAATAAACATACCAAAGGATGAGCAATAATTATTTGCTGATAATCGTTGTAGGTAAGAAAAGGTCCAAATATAATGGTAGAAGGATTAAGTATATATCCATAAAATTCAAGAAATGATAGTTCAACTCTCTTACTCGTTTGAAGAGTAAAAGAAATTGCATTCATAAATGATATCATTACAGATCCTATAATTTAAAAAACAAAAAATAATATAAATTTTACTATTAAATATAGATTAAAATATTTTATATATGTTATTGAAAGTTTTTATTTAAGATGAAACTGTAAACATAAAATAGAGTAAAACTCTAAACCCTAATTTATTTAAATATATTTAGTAATATTTTGGTATAAAAATCTGATAACAGTTGTTTAATTTTTTTTTTGTGCTGACTATTTTTTTAATTATCTACAATACAATGATTTCAAAAAAACATGCTGTTACATTTTAAATTGATTTAAAAATAAGATTGTTTTATGTAATAAAGCATTAACCTTACATACCCATTAACCTTTAAGAAAGTTACTTACACCCCACCCTAGTATAGTATTTATTCCTAACCTTTAAGAAAGCTACTCACACCCCCACCCTAGTAAAGTTTATCTCCAAAAAAAATTGCTAGATTTATCAACTTAACATTAAATCAAGAGAGAATATGCAAATATAACTGTCTATAACATAACTTCTATATTTGTGTTCACAAGCATTATTAAAATAAACAATTATGTTTAGCATACTATTGAATTAAAATTAATACAAATAAATCAATTATGTTAAGCATTGAATCAAAATAAAACATATAAACCTTTTATCCTTGTCCAAACAACAGAATCAAGCAGATAAAACTCGCTTAAAGAAATAGAAAAAATCTTTATTATTTACAGACTATTTTTGTTAGAAGTATTTTTGTAAATAAAAGTATACCATATAACAAGGTATGCTGCAGCATAAACGATGACAAGCACTCCTTTTTTATCCAATCGTACAAGAAGAAATAAAAGCATACATGGAGTAATAACATAAATCATGTCATAATCAAAGAACTTAAATAACAAACAACAGCCCAAACAAACAGAAAGGCAGTGAATAAAAATTGGTGGTGGTCTTAAAATAGAAAAGAAACGCAATAATAAACTAAAAAGCAAAATCATCCAAATAGATTCTAATGTTTGAGATAAAATTGGTTGAAAACATTCCTCATAAACATTGTACTGCTGTTGTAAATCTGAGTAATGTAGTTCAAGCTGTGCTAAATATTCATTGAACATCTCACGATTGCTGAATAATTCTATGACAAGTGTATATACATATACATAATATAATATTTTATATATATATATATATATATATATATATATATATATATATATATATATATATATATATATATATATATATATATATATATATATATATATATATATATGTATATATATATATATATAGGGCCTACTCTAGGAAAAAATTTGGGCAGCGGTACCCCCATGGCCTGGAGATATTTAGCGAAAATCTGCATTTTTTTTAGCAAAAAAACAATGTTTGCTGGAAAAAAAAAAAGTCCTCAAATTTTAATTTGGGTGGCGCCCAAAATGATGCCCAAATAGGGGGGTCTGCTGCCCAAATTTTTTTCCTAGAATAGGCCCTGTATATATATATATATATATATATATATATATATATATATATATATATATATATATATATATATATATATATATATATATATATATATATATATATATATATATATATATATATATATATATATATATATATATATATATATATATATACACACACCCACCCATATATAACAACATGGTTGGGTTTGTGTGTGTGTGCATACATGTGTGGTGTGTGGTAAGTGTGTGAGTGTGATTAGAGTAATAAAAAACTAATAGTTTTGAAAATTTGAATAAAAATTATTTTTTTAAATTCAAATAATTATTTTTTCTTGAAAATTTCAACTCTCAGATATTTTCAAAATCTCTATCTAACTAAATATATTTGTAGCTAAATAAAAACAAACCAATCATTTCATTTTCAGGTGTATCTGCTGGAAAATATTGTCTTAGTTCGTTTATAAGATCTCCATTATTTGACAACTCCATAATTTGATTATTTGATTTGATAATTCATCTCCATAACTTGATTACTAATTTATCAAATTTTCTATTAAATTATTAAATTTTCTAAATTAAACAAAACGAAACCAAAACAGTTATAAAGATTATTTTAGGCTCCCCTTCTTAAAACTCCCTTCCCCCTTATCCAAAAACACACAGCTGAAAAGACTTTATAAATTAATTCAAATATTAATTTTATGGTAGATTTGCAAAAGTATCAACCACTCATTAAAATATTATCAAAGAAACATTTATTAACATATTTGAGAATAAATCTGTCAATTACTAACACACTATCTGAAAACTATACTTGTTGACTATACTTGTTAAAATATAAAGGACTATACTTGTTAAAATATTTTATTACAATATTAAATTATTAAGATATAAAAAACATCAACAATATTAACAAAATTTTATCATGTGTAAAGCTTACGCACATAGAAATACTGCTATGTGCATTATGAAAAAACCAAATACATCTATACAAATGCTGCAATATGTATTATAAAATTAACTAATACTTGCATACAAACACTGTAGAGTACTATAAAATTATATATAACATATATAATGCTATACATAATATATATTATGTAGCTTATACAAGGATATTATTACAATACATATTTTAATAAACTTAAAACAATTAAAAAGTGAATTAAAGTTGTAAATGATTGTTGTTGCTTTTTTCAGCATTTTACAAAATCTCTTTATCATCAAAATTTGTTTACCTTCTATTTGTTTTAACTAAATAGAGAAACTTAAACATTTGAATTTTATTTAATTTTTTTTTTTTTTGGTGTTAAGAAGTTATTATTTTTAAAATTTTTATTTATTCAAATTTGCCCCAAGGTCTACTTTTTTTATATGGGTAGTGACTGTTTTGGCTTACTGATAATTTGCTGGTATCTTGATGTTTTGACTTGTGGATATCTTGCAGATATATTGATCTATTGACTTGTAGATATCTTGCAAATATATCAACGTTTCAATATGCTGATAACTTGCTTGTACGTTGATGTTTTAACTTGTGAATATCTTGCAGATATATTGATGTTTTAAATTGCTGATATCTTAATGCTAGTGGCAGAATGTTCTAAATACTATTAGGCCATTGGCCCAATATTTATACAGATAATAAGCATAGGTCAAAAATCCTATCAACTTGCAAAAGAGTTTTTTATACCAGTGGATTTCTGTTTTTTTAAAAGTATATCAGGTTGGGTCTTTAAAGAACCAGAATAATAAAATAAAAATCAACTACTTAAATTTTATATACGAAAAAACACTCTTAAACAAAAATTAAAGCAGTCTTTTTTAAGATACTATGTAGCAATAACTTTTTAAAAAATGTTTTAATAAAAAAGATAGTGAATTGTGAGTTACTGCAGTGTAAAGTAGTTTTTTAATAAACTTTGTTGTGACTTTTTATGAAAAAAAAAAAAAAAACTTATCAGAATTTATCAAATAATTATGGTGATAACAAAGAGGTTCAAATAACATTGAAAATTAGGAGATGGAGGAGTACAACATTAAAAGTTTCAAATACAATTATTTTTTATATTTATAAAAAAAAATCATATACAATATCTTTAAAAATGCTATTAATATAAAATTGCAGTATAAACAGCTAAAATTTAAAATTAATTCAAATTATTATCAAATATTATTTGCTATAAAACAATATTATTATCATTACATTTTATTATTTCTGCTGTATTTACAACTGAAATAAAAATTAAAAAAAAACAAACTGAAATTTACAACTGAAATAAAAATATAAATAAATACATTTTAAATTATAAATTTTGGATACCATTTATGATCAACAAAAACAATAAAAAACAACATTTGCTGTAAACATAAAGCAAGAAATCTTTATTTGTAGGTAACCAAGTTGTTAGTCATCCTAAAAATATAAATTATATAAAACATAAAAATAGTTAAATAAATGATTAGCAATCTTAAATAATTTTTACAATTTTCAAAAAAAAAAGAACCTAAGTAAGACACTTTATACTTTTATTTTTATATTAACTGCCAAAAATTATTAGTCATGTTAGGGTCAGACAAAATTATTAATCATGTTAGGGTCAGACAAAATTATTAATCATGTTAGGGTCAGACAAAATTATTAGTCATGTTAGGGTCAGACAAAATTTTTAGTCATGTTAGGGTCAGACAAAATTTAGAGCAATATATGAATGCATTCATAAAAGATTAAACATAATAGAAAATTATAAACTTGGATTGTTTAATTTTAACCAATAATGAAAGCAGTTCCAGGTCACCTGATAGTTTCTAAACAGGCAAAAAAAAAAAAAAAAATACATTGCGACTTTATTTACTGTTACTTTCTTTGTGATTGCCAATCTCAACAAACTTTTGTTTAATTAAGTTGTTTGTTTAATTAAGTTGTTTGTTTAATTAAGATGTTGAATTGTTTAATTAAGTTGTTTGTTTAATTAAGATGTCAAGTTGTTTAATTAAGTTGTTTAGTTAACTTTAAATAAGATGTTTGTTTTTGTGGTATGTTTTATAAAATTAATTGTAAAATAAATATAATCATAAAATAATTATTTGATAATCAATACATAAATTGCGTGAATAAGAGATAGGGCTTTTGGATAGGATTTTGGAGGGGTAGAAAATTTTCAATGGTTATAACTTATAGTTAACAATATTTCTGAATGAAATTTAAAACCTGTTAATGAATTTAAAGTTTAAAACATTAAATTAGCTTATGCATAGCGTCTCTCAACTCAAACATTTCTCAAACGTGTCTCAACATTTTCTAAAGTATAAACTGCTGCCAAAATGCAAAAAAAGTGCTAAAAAAAGTGCAAAAACTGGCAAAAGGATTATCAGTTGGTAACGCTTCTGTTAAAATAATTTTTATAGGCCTTTGAAACCTTCTTAAATTTCAAAATGAAGTGAAAAAAATGACTATATAAACTCTATTTTTTACATAATATTACAATCAAATAACATCTGATTAAATTGTAAGGCATGGTTTTTGATTTTCTCCAAAAGAAACTTATTTAAAATAGCTCAAAATACTCTTTTAGCCAAATACTCTTCAATATTTTTACATGCAATATTAAAATTCATAATTACTAACAGCAGTTAAAGATTAAAATGGTTAAAATGTTCATTATAAACCATAAGCTACGATTTTCTGCTGCCTAATCTAGTAAATAGAATTATAGTAACAGTTCTTTATAGATGCTTACTGTTCAGATCAGTGTTGCAGCATAACAATCTTTCTCTGGATGTTTTGCATTGTTTTGTTTATGCCTTAACCAATGTTTATAAAAGTTTTGATGAACAGTTTCAACAGTTTGTTTACTATAGTGCCCCAAGGGGGATCTATAGTGAAAAGTTTAAGACTGATGAAATCTTTGACATGGTAGAAGACTGTGTGAATTTTGGGTGTCATGCTTGCACCAGTTATCATTAAGTAACACCTTTTTTAAATTTTTAATTACTTCAGCAAAATGTGACTAAAGGATCCAAAGCAAACTTTCACAACTAAGTTTTTGAATGGTTAAACTTTTAAAACTTTTGAATGGTTCAATTATGTGGTAAATGTTGGGAACCGAGTTTGTGTCAGCATATTGTTGGAGCACACCCAAATTTTTAAGAAACTTCCTGCATTTATTTCCCTTAAACTGACCTGAATGATATGGGATCAGTTGAATGTGGAGGTGCTTTATCCAAACAGTTTTATGAATCTTGAAAAATGATCAATAACTTCTATAAGGAGATGCAATTCCATCAGTGGGATTGTATCCAAAATCAAAACATTGTGGGGCCCACTAAAAATTGGCTTTTGAATGACATTGCCAAACAACTTTGCACAAACAACAACCCTGCCAGATTGCTGAAAAGACGCGAAGCTAGATTTGATTGAGCCTAGTGTTTGCAAGTTTCCAGATTTGGCAAGATACTTGAATTTGATGTCACACCATGTACAAGGGTGCATTGAATGGATTTGAAGACCATAAATTGTATTTGCAACTTTCATGTCGCAAGTCAAAATTAGATTAACTCTATTTGCATTAATCAGTGACCAGATTAGTTCAATGTTGGAGTGAGTTTCTGGGAAATATTCTGATACCACAACAAGAAATTGTCTCTTAACACCAGTGTCTTTGCCAGTCCTTTGAGTGAGAGGTTGTTTTTGAGTCAGTGAGCAGGTATCAACCCTTAACACAGTATTAACAATACTTCAAAACTTGACAAAAAAAACATGAGAAAACCTTTACCACCATCAATTCCGAGCTTAACAAAATATCCACCTGAAATTTTGCAGGATTGAATAATATGATTCACAAGACTTGATAAATCATTGCACTTAATGTACCAGAATCTTCTTTTCCATCAGTAATAACCTGCTCTTAAGAAATTCTTATAAAAGTTTGACTTTACAGTCTTGCTGCTTTGTTTGCAGTTCTAATCAGTTTCTTTAATCTGTTGTTTGATATTCCTGTCTTTAATTGTATATTTACAAGAGCTAGAGTGGTCAATTTTGGAGTGCTTGATAGTGGCTGGGCACTACTTTGACCTGAAACCAAAACATACATATTTTATCTTTATATTAAACTTTGTTCAAAAAGCTTGTTCAAAACTTTCAAATTGTTCGCTTTTAAAGTGATTAGAAACTTGTTAAAAATTTCCCAAAACCTATCTTGTCTCTTTTTCAAAAGATATACTTTGAATATATATGTAAAAACTATTTAAATATAAATATTTACCTAGGATTATTGTGTGGAGGCCCTTCAGATGCTTTAGCAAGTCAAATAGTTCCTTAAATCAAACTATCCCTTTTAGGAAATTTACCCTGAATTTATATTGGATAACAATCCATTAATATACCTACAAATATTATTAATTATAAACAATTAAAATCAAGAAAATAATTACCTAAATGACAAGGAAATAATTTGTCAATAAGTATGACACTTGTCATACTTATTGACAATTTAGAAGAGATTTTATTTGATGACACATTCCTACAAAAGATTTTTACTGATCTTCAAAGAACTAATCTCCCTTTCATAAGATTTTTTTCAGACTGGCTCTCTAAACTTTTTATTTGTCAATTATTTTACTTATCTAAACTTTTTTTTATGTAGGTATCTTTATAAAAGCTTTCCAACCATTTTTTAATGTTTTCATGTATTTTAACAGTAGTTTTCATGTATTTTGACAGTACTTAACCTTAGAAAATGCTGAAATTTTCACACAATGCATAAGCCAAGTCAAACCACGCTTTAAATAGTAAATCAATACTTTGTTCAAAAATAATGAAATAGGTAGTTGAAGCAATAAAACAATTATAAAAAAAATTGTTGGCATTACATAATAGAACACTTATGTAACCATTATTAAATAAATAAAATAGTGACCGAATATCACAGTAATCAATAATATTTTGAGGTAAAAATTAACAAAATATAAACTAAAACAACCATAAGTCCTTAACCAGTTAACCAATCCGGCGGAAATTTTATTCAGAGTTTGGTGCCGTCATATGCTACATTTGCACCAATTTTCAAATTATATAAACTCTCAATTTACAGGCGTTTTTATTATTGGCATAAACAGGATATGTGCTAACCATGAGGTTACCAGGTAAAGTAGGTTAAAACAGGTAAATTTCCAGCATTAATGTGTGATGTATTTTTTCAATTTATATTTATATGTCATAATTACTTTTTTAGGAATGATAATCGGATGACGGATTTATGAGATATAGAAGAACAAAATGGATTATAGTTGAAAAAAAAAATTGTAAAAATTATGTTAATAAATATTTCATTATATTATTTAATTATAATAATCAAGAGTGTTATAAATATATATTATAGGAGATATATATATATATAATAAATACACTTATTTTACATTTTATTATTATTTTGATAATAGCTCCACTTGTTTTAAAATCTTGAATACTTTTAAAATTAAATTAAAATTCTTCTTGTTTGTCTTCTTGTTTGTCCAATATACAGAGGAGAGTATTAATTAGCGAACCACAATTTTTCAAAACCTGAAATTTCTAAAAACAACTTGGATTTTTTAAAAATAATATGAAGTTAGTCATGCATTTGTCATATGTAAAAGATTCTTAGGTTATAAACCTGTTTACATATTCAAGTTGCCGCATTTAACACTCCAAAGAGTAAATTTTCTTTAAGTTTATTTTTTCTTCAGTTAAAAAGATTTTCGAACTTTTTATTTTTTCAATATTAACATCGTGTTCTAATAAGCTTCCTATCAGAAAAAGCCATATTTATAACACCTCAACACTCTCCTTTTATTATTGGTTATTTACAATAAGATGTTAAAGTATCAAGGTTAAGTAAAATAATTGTTAAAATAATTGTTAAAATAATAATAAGCTTCTATTATTTACTAGGAAATATAAAAATAAATAAATATCAAGAATAAGTTTATCTTAAGTGTAAAAAGACTTATAATGACCTGTTTTATAAGTTAGACAGGTCCAGACAGGTAGTATTTATTAATACTGCTAAAATACAATTACCAAGCATTCAGTGGTATAAGTAATAGTGACATAAAAAATAAGTAATAGCATAAGAAACTTAACAGTAAAAAATAATTAAAAAAAAAAATTATTTATAGTTTATGCCATCCTTAAAAAACATAAATAAAATAAAAATAAAGTATTAATAATAATCATAAGTAAACAATAAAATAAATAACATTAATAATAAAATAGTAAAAAAAAAAATTAACAATAACACTGGCCAACAAAGATTTTGCGGCAAAACATTTGGGGGTCATTTTATAGGTAACTTGTTGCCCTGATTCCGAATATGACCTCCGTTTTCCTAGATTGGCTCTAGTTTTTGAGATACAGGGTGGTCACGAAAGTACATTAATAGCAACAATTTATGTTAGGTTGTAGCGTAATTCACAAAAAAAACACTAGATATATATATCAAATTGTTTATGGGGAAGTACATACAATGCTAATAGATCAAAACATTCAAATCAGTACAATGAAATCACAATTAATGCATTAAAAATCGGTGTCTGTATGATTGTCTTTTGTGTGGAGAATGTGGACAATCACGTTGAAGGCTCCAACAATAGTCAGCCATCATGTGTGTATCCAATTTTCCTTGGTATCTTTCTTCCATTACCTTGATATCTTGATGGAACCTCTCCCCTTGTTCCTCACTATAACTTCCTAGATTATCGGGAAACCGATCTAAGTGACTATGTAGAAAGTGAACTTTTATGCTCATATTAGCTTTCAATGTTTTGAAGTCTGAAAGCATTTTCTGTACGATTTCTTCATAGTTGGCAGATTTTGGTTGCCCAAAAAGTTATGAACAACCAAGACAAAACTTTTCCAGGCAGATGCTTCAATATCTGTCATTGTATATAGGAACTGCTCATCCTTGATGATTTGGCGAATTTGAGGGCCGCTAAAGATTCCAGCTTTGATTTTCTCCATACTCAAGCCTGGAAAAAATCTGCAAATATATTTGAAACATTGACCATCTTTGTCTAGGGCTCTTACAAATTGCTTCATCAGTCCTAGTTTGATGTGGAGTGGTGGGAAAACAATTTTTCCCCTGTCTACCAGTGGTTCGTTAATGATATTTGATGCACCTACAGTCATATTTTCCCTAGCAGGTCATACCACCTTTTTCCAGTGGTCTTCTTTAGCCCTACTATCCCACAAACATATGAAGCAAGGGTACTTAGTATATCCACTTTGCTGCCCTAGTAAGAAGTTTACCATCTTTAAATCAACACATATAGACCACTGGTGCTCATTGTATCTAAGCTTCTGCAACATCATTCTTATATTTTCATATTCCTCTTTCAGTTTTGTTGAGTGAAGTATTGGGATGGATGCATAACTATTGCTATTGTGCAATAAAACACACTTCAAACTTCTCATCGAACTATCTATAAACAATCGCCAATCTTCTGGTCGGTATTCAGGTAACCCCATTTGGAGGAGGAGTCCAGGGATGTTCCTACAGTATACTATTTTTTCTTCTTGAATAAAATATGGAAGAAGTGCTGCCTCTCTTGTCCGAAAAAAAGTTATTTTACATTCGGCCTTCAAACTGTTCTTTTCACTTAGTCTAGATGCTAAAAGCTCAGAATCTTGCTTGGATAGACTTAAGTCTCGTACTAAATCATTGATCTCTTCCTGGGAGAACTGTTGCTGTTTAGAAGTACTGTCTTCATATTCACTACCACTATCTGCATGTTCGCACACCAAATTCTGCATATCTTCTTCATCAGACACTGTTAGATCTGGGAGTGTAGTGAACACTGGAATGGGGACATCGTCTGAGTGTGGTACAGGTCACCTTGCTGATTCCAAATCCGGATACTCAAATTTACATTTCTTGAAACGATTGATACCTTTCACATTAACCAAACAAAAATAACAGTCACTGTCGTGATTCTTTTGCTCCCGCCATACCATAGGCACACTAAATTTTAAACCTTTTCTTTGTCCATTTTTCCACTGACGTAGATTTTCGACACACGTTTTACATACAATATGGGGAGCCCAAGACTTATCTTGGTCTCCGAGTTTCATTCCAAAGTATGCCAGATATGCTTGCTTCACAAAGTTAGTAATATTTCTTCTTTGGCTCTCCTGGCAATATTCACCACAGATGTGGCAGAATGCATTGGGGTTATTCAAACATCCTCTTCGTGAAGAACTCATTGTGTTCTAAAAACAGGAAAAAGTATATATATATATATATATATATATATATATATATATATATATATATATATATATATATATATATATATATATATATATATATATATATATATATATATATATATATATAAAGGTACGCCCTTTAAAAAGAAATAACTATTTTACTGTAAAATATGCATGAACGAAGATATTTGTATAAGAATATATCTGGAACACCCTGTATCTCAAGAACTAGAGCCAATCGTGGAAAACTAATGTCATTTCTGAAATCAGCACACCCGATATACTATAAATTCGTAAAAATATCCTCGGCAGCAAAAAAAAAAATTTTTTTTGTTGGCCAGTGTAAAAGTTAAAAAAAAAAAAGAGCTTCCTTATATGCATTATATTTTAATGCAAATTAACAATTTTTTATTAATGTGCATTAAATTATTTGTAATTGTTTGGGCAACCAAATGCTACCCATTTCATTGTAAAAACTAACTTGATATTTCAATAACAAATTATTTCTCATAGATATTTTTTGAAATTAATTACTTTCATAATTATGTTAGGCAACAGTCTAAAATAATTATGAAAAAAAAATTAGATAAAATAAATGTTACTTTAAAAAAATCTGTAGACCACATATCTTATACTACTTTTTATATTAGTATTTTTTTACACACACATTACTAAAACTTCAGTTCTAGTTAAAAATATTTAGATATTGATTTTAGTGGTACTGTTTTAAAAACACTCAGAAAAATACATTTCATTTATCATAATCGTGTTACTATTACCCCTTTTCTCTAACATTATATGGTGTTAACATAATCTCTCTTCTCTCACTTTATAGTGGCGTGCTGGCCTTAGAGGCTATGCGGAAATCCTGCTTGGGCCTATCGATTATTATGAGAAATAATTGTGTTCAATTTTAAATTATGGAAATATATTCATATTGATAAAATTTTTGTTAAATTATAACGATTAATTGTTTTTTCATAAACAAAAATTGTAATGTTTTTAAATATAAATAACTTTAGTAACCACTTTTTTTTTCAAAGAACATAGTTGTGAAATCCGTGTTTGTTGTAATTATAGCTTCTTTTTATTTTTTTTTAAGATTTGACATAGAATGGAAAATCTTTAAAATTGTATACATTTAATTTGAACTTCATGTTGATAAGACCGTAAGGGTTTCTTGGGGCACGTAAAATAAAAATTTGTTGTACCATTGTTTTTGTAACGTTTGTACTTTATAAATAATTTTTTATCACTTCTCTACAGCTCAAGGTGTTCCATATAACACGCATTTTTTTCATGAGCGAAGATTTACAAATATTTATAATCTATCAATCTTTAAATTAATAGTTATTAAAATAATCATATGTATCTATATATTTTATTAATACGACTAAATGATGGTACAGTTACTTAGTCGTATTACCAAAATATAATATAATATAAGTTATCTTTCGAAAACTTTGTTTATATAACATAAAATACAATAATTCTTGTATATGCAATAACGCTAAAACAAAAATATTTAATAAATATATATATAAATATATATATGTATATGTATATATATATATATATATATATATATATATATATATATATATATATATATATATATATATATATATATATATATACATATAATTGGATATAAGAACATTGTATAGAAAAATATAGCATGAAAATTAAAAATAAAAAAAAATATATATATATAGTTTTAAACTTTAAAGTTAATGTTTTTAAATAATAAAATAGAAATCCTATTTGGTTACATTAAAAATGTCGTAAAATTTGTTTATTTTTAGGAATAAAAATATAAAACCTGCTTACAGCAGCAAAATAAAACATGCTTGCCGCAGCACAATGCCATTTTTAATATATATATATTTAAATATAAATACACATGCGGGCCTTCAAATCAAGCATATTTGGTGAAATCCTGCATATATGGGCCTTTTTGAAAAAATCCCGCATGTGCTTTTTGGAGCCAGCACGCCCCTGTCATTACCCCTCCTCAATCACTTAATTTTTTGTTTTATACCTTTCTTCTCTCACCTAATATTTTGTGTTATAGCTTTTAATTATATTTCATAATGAACTTGCAGAATTGTTTTTTGCAGATGATGGGAGTTTTTATTTTTTTAAATACTTCAGTTTAAATTTTAAATTTTCAAAAATTACTAGGTTATCTCTCTTAGTTTTATAATATTATAAGCAAAACCAAATTAACAAAAAAAAGGTAAAAATATTGTTATATAAAATTACCATCCTGCATTCTTATGTAATAGTTTGAAACCAACAAATACATAAAGCCATTTAAACCTACCCACTCTTCTTCATCAACACCTTCAAACTTGTCTTGTTCAAGCTTATGATCGACTTCAAGTTTTCCCATCATTGCATTTATAAGCTTTTTATTATAAAAAAAAATTATAAAAATAATAATATATACTTAAACAGAGAAAAAAATTTGAAAATCTTTTACAAAAACTTTAAACTGGATAAATAATGAGAAAATCAAAAACCTCAGCTTTTTTATCTTGGTCACTTTTCTCAGCAAGAATTGATTGGCTACAATATTTGGAAGCTTTTGGTAATTCTTTTGGTGCATCACTTACTATAAGGATTGCATTATTTGTTTAAATATAATAAATAAAAAAATAACATATAAACATCATAAAAAAAACAAAAAAATAAAAATGTATGAATAAATGAATGAATAAAAGAATGAATAAATGCTGATGAAATAAATTAATCTTATTGCAAGTTTCAAAATGTTTAAAAAAAAACAAAATTTTTCTTTTAACATAAAGTTTTTGAAAAAAAAAAAAATTTTTTTGATAAAATAAAAAAAATTTATCTAAAATCTCAACCAGAGGCACAAAGCAGAAAAAAAAAAAAAAACAACTGAAAAGTTACTCAAAAGTTCAAATAAACAAAATAAAGTACATTTTAGCATTCCAAAAGGTTGTAAAGAAATTCTTTTCTGTGGCAAAATATTGCCATCTAACCAATCATCTCCTGATAAGGTTTGCTCCCAAGTCACTCTAGTTTCAGGGAAAACATCGTCTTGAAAGAATTCTGTCTATATATAGAATGGCAAAAAATTTCAGTCTTTTATAATGAACTTTTGTAAAAATATCAAGAATATTAATAAAAATATACTTTTGTTCTTGGCAAAGTAAATGAAATTATCTCAATGTTGTTCTTTGTGAGACAAGCAGCTCTTGCAAACTCCACCTTACTAACATCAAGTAAATTCTTTTGCAAAAATGAAATACCCTAAAGTTTAAAATTTTTACATTTTACATTAGTAAATTTTCAAGAAAACTAACTGTAAAAGTGTTGTAAAATTAAAAAAAAAAAAAAGCTTGAACATTATATCGAACCAAAGTCTTAAAAAAGCAAACAAAAATTTAATGAATTTACAGTAAAACTTTTAAAAATTAAGATTGAATTAGAAAAAATTGCTGAAAAATTTATTTCAAATTAGTCTAAAATTCAACCTAGGCTAGATTAGTCTAAATTTTAAATTGCAAACTATTATATAAAAGTATAAATTTTCTATTATATAAGATTTTGGATAAACAATGGTCATTGATCAATAAAACTTTAATTAGAGTATAAAATATATTTTAGCAAACTTATTTTTTACAGTTAGCAACACCTAATCTGGGCTTGTAATATAAATCTAAATTTGCTTTTCAGATTCAATAAAAAATTTACCTGATGAAGTGTTGTCGACCGAAAAAACGATAATGCAAACATATGTGGATAATTTTCATGAATTTCAAATGTATATACTATGCGGTCACCCTATAAAAATAAACATAGAAAAATGAATTTAAATTACATATATCTTCCTATAAAGTGATACTTCCAAAGACCATCTTATATTAAACTGCAATAAATTGTTCTATTAAAAATCTTTGAAAAATTAAAACCTTACCTTTCCTGTTGCAAATAAGGTTGATGAATCTTCGTCATAATGTAAACTTAAAATAGATGGAGAAGTATCTATTTGTTGTAAAGAACTAATTTGTTTTACCCCATCACTTTCATATAGCATAAGATGTCGACCAGAGCTGCAAATTTTAAACATTATTTGATTTAAAAGTAGCAAATAATTTTCTAAAAACTAAGAAATCATTTAATACCTAGTTTATTACTTTATTCATAGTTCATAGTATTTTTATCTTATCTTTCCAAACTGATTAAGTTTGATTGTTATGAAACTAGTGTTACTATTCTTTTAATTGAATGAATTTGTTAAAAAGTTTCATAACTTAAAAATACCTGTTGACAATAGAAACCACTATCCAATTATTTTTAGGACCGCACCAACACATTCTCGCACCTCTTAATGTATCTGGTGCATCACCCTCCTAAAATTATTTTTTATTGTATATATACACACAGTATATATATATATATATATATATATATATATATATATATATATATATATATATATATATATATATATATATATATATATATATATATATATAAATGTTTGTATGTATGTATGTATGTATGTATGTATGTATGTATTTATGTATGTATTTATGTATGTATGAAGGCTCGGTCAGGAAGGCGTGCGATTTCATAGCTTTATATGACAACGCAAATAATATTTTGTTTTGTTTTGACAATTTTAACATTTTAATAAAGCGCTGAAAACTTAACTTAGTTATAAAGAAACTAAAAAACAAACTAATTAAAAAAAAAGAAATAAAATCTTCTTAATAAATAATGAAAAATAAAATAAAAATAGCTCAGTAATAAAAACTAAAACAAAAATAAAATAAATAAAAACAAAACTTAACTAAAATAAATAATAAACAATAAGATAATTACGTTTGAAATAAATAACTTTGAATCTTTACTAATGTTTTTATAATGTAAAAGAGTCTTGTCTGCGTTGTTACCGCACTATATAAAATTATATTAATAGTAAAAAAAAAATTATAATAAATAGTACTAATCGATAAAAATATGTAAATACCATATAAAATTATATTTACATTAAAAAATAAATATATAAATAAATAAATAAATAGTACTAATCAACAAAAATTGTAAATAAACACTTTTGCTTTTCTAAAAAAATTCATAGGATATAAGTGGTATTTTTTAAAAAAACGATCTAACTTAACGAGGAAACTTTTTTTAATGATGCTTTAGAGGACGCATTTTACAAAAATGACGACTGACTAAGGAACATTTTTTTTTTATTATATAGACATAGCAAAACCCTTTTAAACAAAGTAACAACTTTCAACAATTTTTTAATAAATACACATATTTAAAAGATAACAACAAAAAAAAACTTTACAATTCTTCATAATAATGTAAACAAAAGAAAAATAATTAAACCTTTTCTTTTGTCAGAAATCAAATATCAGAAAGCAAATGAGGAAAAATGAAGATGAAAACGAAAAATAATGAACAAAACTATTCCTTTAATTTATAATTTGATTTAATTTAATAACAATTCTTTCTTTTTTTTAATTAAAAACTAAAGAAAAAAATCATAAAAATTATAAAAATAAAATAAAATTTATATATTTTTTTCAACTTGCATTCTTACAAAATTTTTAATCTATAATTTTTTTATTTAAAGACAAAAAAAAAAATACATTAATACATTAAATGTAAAAAAATAATTAGCATTGCATTGTTACACTATTTAAGAACGTTTTTATAATATAAAAACATTAGTAAAGATCAAAGTTTAATTCAAACAGCTGTCTTTAATTCAAAAGTTTGTCTTTTTTTCTTCTCAACAAATGTATACAACTTTCATTTTTAAAGTATAGATGAAATTTATACAACTTTCATCTGATTAAGAGAAAAGCCCTTTTTGACTAGGCTAAAAACAACATGCGCTAAAAAAAATTAAAATTAATTTTTTTAGCGCATTTTTAAAATGTTAAAAACCGTGGTCAAATCGTCAAAATAAGGTATTATTTGCGTGTTCATATAATGGCATGCGATTGCACATCTTCCTGACCAAGCCTATGTATGTATGTATGTATGTATGTATGTATGTATGTATGTATGTATGTATGTATGTATGTATGTATGTATTTATGTATGTACGCACATAAGTACATGTATAAATACATGTATTCATAAATACATAAGTATGTATGAATATACGTATTTATATATGTACTTATGTATGTATTTTTTTGGATGTAACAAGTGATTTAGACAACATATTGCTGAGTACTCTTGGTGAAGTACTGTATCAACAAAAAAATCTGAAATCACATAAATATCAAAATTGAAGACAATACAGAGAAAAAATTAACGGACAAATAAACTTGTTACAAACCAATTAAAAATTATATTACAAATTATGACAAAATGAACTTCCTAATATTAAAATATTAATAATAATAATAATAATAATAATAATAATAATAATAATAATAATAATAATAATAATAATAATAATAATAGCAATAATAATAATAATAATAATAATATAGTAAGTAAGATAGATAAATTTATAATATAATGAGATGTTTGTTTATTTAAAATTAAACTGTTTATTTTTCAAGGGTATCTTATAAAACTTGAAAAACTTAAATGTTTTGAAAAAGACATTTACAATAAAATTTATCCTGTTGGTTCACAACCAGCAAGAATTTATGCTCTACCTAAGATGCACAAATTTAGTAAAGATTCTTCTCTACCATCTTTTCGACCAATTATTTCAACAATTGGCACACATAATTATAAACTTGCTAAACATCTTTTAGATTTATTATCTCCATATTTACTAAAACATTATACCACGTTTGACTCATTTTCATTCATTGAAGATTTAAAACAAGTTGACATAACTAATAAATTTATAGTTTCTTATGATGTTGAAAGCTTATTTACTAACATTCTACTTAATGAAACTATAAATATAGCAACAGAATTGTATTTTAAAGATGAAACTTGCTCAAAATATTTTTCTAAAACTCATTTCAAAAAATTACTTCAAATTTACATGTCAGGTTCTCATTTCTTATTTAATGGAAAATTTTATGATCAATTAGATGGCGTTGCAATGGGTTCTCCTTTAGCGCCAATTTTAGCTAATATATTTATCCTCCATACTTAATAATTGCTTATCCTCCATACTGATTTTTTATAAACGTTATGTCGATGACATAATAGCAATTTTTAATTCAGAGTTTGAAGCGCAAGAATTCTTTAAACATCTCATTAAACAACACAAAAACTTAAGATTTACTATGGAAAAAGAAAAAGACAACCAAATTCCATTTTTGGATATTCTTATTAATAAGTCTAATTCACTCTCTACATCAGTTTATCACAAAAAAAACATACACGGGTCTTTTACAAAATTTCTTTAGTTTTGTCCCTTCATGTTACAAAACTGGTCTTATACGTTGCTTGATTGATCGAACATATAAAATTAACAACACGTGGTTTGGATTTGATAAGGATATAAAAAATCTTTCTTTAGTTTTAAAAAATAATCAATTTCCGCAAAAAGTTATCGACACTGAAATTAAATTATATGTTGAAAAGAAAATTAACCCACCTGTTATAAATACTGTTGATAATACTAATATAAGATATTTTAAGCTTACATTTATTGGATTTTACTCAAATTTCACTAAAACTAAAATTGATAAAATTATTAAAAAGTATTGTAAAAATGTAATAATCAAATTTATATTCACAATCGATAAATTAAAAAACAGTTTTTGCATAAAAGATCCACTTCCTAAGATGCTTAAATCTAACATTGTCTACAAATTTCTTGTGCTGGCTGTAACGCCAGTTATGTAGGAGAAACCTCCAGACATTTGACAACAAGGATAAATGAGCATCTTAAGAGTGACAAGCAATCGCATATTTTTAAACATTTAAATTCATCCATTAATTGTAAAACACTAACTAATTATGATTGCTTTCAGATTTTGGATACTGCCTCTACCATTAACAAATTAAAAATAAAAGAAGCACTTCATATTAAATGGGAAAATCCTTCTTTAAATAAACAAACATCTCATTATATTATAATTTTATCTAACTTACTATATTATTATCATTATTATTAATATTTTAATATTAGGAAGTTTATTTTGTCATAATTTGTAATATAATTTTTAATTGGTTTGTAACAAGTTTATTTGTCTGTTAATTTTTTCTCTGTATTGTCTTCAGTTTTTAAATTTATTTACCAGAGTTTTAATTGTAAATTAAATCTTTTGAAAATGTAGAAAAGACTGCGAAACATGTCAAGAATAAAAAATATTGTGATTTTTATTAAAATTTTTTACAAATTTATTGCTAATGCAATGTTCGAAATATATATATATATATATATATATATATATATATATATATATATATATATATATATATATATATATATATATATATATATATATATATATATATATATATATATATGTATATATATATATATATATATATATATATATATATATATATATATATATATATATATGTATATATGTATATATATATATATATATATATATATATATATATATATATATATATATAAAATAAAAAAAATTTTTGTTAAGTGATTTTCTACTAATTTATAATTGCTCTGTTCTTTTAAGAATAGTGATCACTCTATTTTGTAGAATATATTTTTAAAATTGTTTAAACACACATAACAAACAATTGCATAATATATGTAATTGCATAATATAAGTAATTGCATAATATAGGTAATTACATAAATTTTTTTTTTTTTTTTTTTTTTTTTTTTATTTTAATTCACCTCCTCAAGGCCGAGAAGGCCACTACAGATGAGGAGGCTACTTATTTGTAGTTATAACCCTCTCTCAACTCTATAACTCCGAAACACGAACCTTGACGAACAAGACCGCTGCGCAGAGAAACGAGTTGAGCGCGGTACTACCAGGGACGTGGTGGGGATCGAACTCGGAACCACTCGTTTATGAAGCGAGCGCTCTACCACTACACCACTACCGCATGTAGAATATGTAATTGCATAATATAGGTAATTGCATAATATACCTAAGTGCATAATATTTGCACAAAAAATTATTATCAAACCTTAATTGGTTCTAAACTGTTAACTGGATCATAGATTCTAATTTTCTTGTCTTTTGATAAAGTAGCTAGATATCGACCATCAGGATGCCATGATAAACACAAGATCTATACAAATTAAAGACTAGTAATTAAATTATTATAAAAATTTTAAACACATTTTGTCAAAAGTGACTCTACAATAGTTATTTAAAATATTTAAATGTGTTATTACATTTTGCTATTACATTTTTAAAAAACTTTAATTTTCAGTACTAATATATTTCAACTAAAAAAGCTCATATCAAAATTTAAACTTTCAACAATAAATAAAAGTATTACATAATCTTAGAATAACAAGAACATAGCGAATGTTTACACAATATTGTACAAAAATATAACACATTATTCTAACTTTTAGTATTTTAATTTTGAAATAACTCAAGTAAATAAAATCAAGTATAATATTTGATAAAGAGAAGTAGTTCACATAATAAAGTGAAACTAAATTTTTGCATTATTAACAAATAAAAATAGCCAGCATAGTTAATGAATTGAAAAGTGTCTTATTTTATGTCAATCAACATTCACTTTTTCATTACCTTGTTGTTGTTGTTTTTATAACTTTCTTGAAAAATTGTTTTTAACTTTATAATAGAGAAACCAACAAAGTTGTTAGAACAAAAGTTTAAAAAGATTTTTTGTTTTTACAATATTACTTATAATAAGCTTTTTACTATTAATTAATGGTTGCACCACAATTGCATAGTTGTTTTTAAAAATGCGCTATTTATTTATTTTATTTTACTTATGCCCACAATTGCATAGTATTAATGAAAGAACCTGAAGCCAAAAAAATATGTGAAGCTCTCAAACTTTTTTAGAAAAGAATGAAAAACTTTTTAAATAATGGTTACACCACAAGTACATGGTATTACATTGTTCTGCACCACAGTGGCATAGTATTATAGTAGTTAAAAAAAAAAAATTAACCTGATCTTTATGGCCTTCTAAGGCTCCAATTTCTGAGTAACTATTCAAATCCCATATTTTAACACTTAAATCTAAAGAAACTGATGCCAGTATATTACTAGCAGTTGGGTGGTACTTGACAATGGTTACACGTTGGTTGTGACCTAAATTTTAAATTAAAATGGTTACACGTTGGTTGTGACCTAAATTTTAAATTAAAATGGTTACACGTTGGTTGTGACCTAAATTTTAAATTAAAATGGTTACACGTTGGTTGTGACCTAAATTTTAAATTAAAATCTTAATCAGAATTCAAAAAATTGTTTAAAAAAATAAAAAAGTAATTTAAATTAAACCTATTAAGATGTGATTTGGTTCTTCAAGTGTCGCTGTTAAGCCGTCATCTGGTACTTTCCAAATCCTTATCTTCCAATCATCACAACCTTAAAAAAATTGTTAAATGAATCTTCTCCGGTAAAAGAAATAATACTTAAATTGATGGAAACATATTAACAAAAATTGGTTATTAAAATGGTTGCCTATAACTCACCAAATTTTGGAATTTCGTATATTGTAGATTATGACATTTTTGATTTTCAACCGTCAATATTTGATTTTTATATTTACACCTCATTAAAACATGTATTTCTGATTTTCCAACCTACTAAATTGTTGACCTACTGTATTTTTGACCTACAGAATTTTCATACTACTGAATATTCAACCTACTATATTTTAAATTTTATAACTACGCCTTTCCAGCATGTATTTTGTATATTTTGTTGTTGATTTGAATATGAGCCAAACTTGATCAGCCTTGGTACAGTGGTTGAAGTGCTGTCTTCAGAATTGAGAAATATAAAGTTCAATGAATGTTTGGAAAACTTATTGATTGTTAATTTGCAAAAAAAAAATTTTAGTTAAAAAAAAACAGCGTTAAAAACACAAACCAGATAATCGGTTGAAAATTTATTTATCACCATAAACCAGATAATTGGTTGAAAATGAAAATCTATAAAGTAGGTCGAAAAATAAATCGATCAAAAACAAATATGTCATAAATCGATTGAAAATAAAAAAGACTATAATCAGTTGAAAACAATTTAGGTCTTAGTAGATTATCTAAAAACTAGTTCCACTTTTTAGTAGAGATATTTTTTGTAGCACAAATTAGTAGGTTGAGATTTTTGTAGACCTAACTATCTGACACGATTAAAATGATATAAGATGTAAAGTCATATGCAGTGATAAAAGTAGGGTGAAAATATCAGATCCAGTGATAGAAGTGAGGTGATGTCAGATGAAGTGATAGTGGGATGATAATGTCAGATACTGTATCTAAGCTCATCATCCCACTCTTAAGAAAAAAAGGATGGGATTAATGTCATAACAAAAACTGGCTCTTTTTTTTTACCTATTTTTCTTATAAAAAAAACTTTCTTCTTTGTGTATATTAATATAAACTAATATTAATATACACAAAAACATTTTTTGATTAGCTTGACAATGTATTTTAATAAAATTCAATGTTACTTACTAACTAAAAATTTTGAATTAAATTAATTATCTATATTAATTTCATTAACAAATTTTATGAAAAACTTGAAAAAATCAATTTTTTCATTCAAAAAAAATTTTCATGAAACAAAAATTCATTTTACAAAGTGAATTTTCAAACTTTCAAACTCACCTACAGCGATATTCCTATTGTCAAATGGATCAATATCAAAATCAAGAACATTGCTACTATTTTGCAGAACAGGAATATCTGACTCAGGTAAACGGCCAGGTTTAGAGAGCTAAATAAAAAATATTTACCATAATTTACTACTAGGCTAATTAAAGCAACTAAGCTAACAAAAAACTGGTGGGAAATTTAAAAATACCTGAAAAACACCCAACTGTCCACCAGACCCTCCCAGTGGAACAGCTGCAAAATCATTGTATACTTTGAAACCATCACTTTCTGATGGTAGAGACTCAGCAAGATTTTTTATGTTTTCAATATTTTTGCTTTTATGCAACTTTTCACCAACAAGATGTTTAAACTTTGAATAATGTCCAGTATTAAATATTGCTTGTTTATTTACCGATTCGACATTAAAAGTGGCTTCTTTTTCTCCACAATTATTTGAGGTTAACACTGAATTTTCAATTGCAGAATTTTTAGTTGATAAGACACTTGAAGAGTAATCAGAAATTTTCTCTATATGTTTTTCTAAAAAAAACGTGTTTAAAGACTTAATTCATATGATTAATTTAATATAAATTAGATTATTTCAAACAAATATATATTTTTATAAAAATGAATATTATTTTATTTTAATTATTAACAATTTATGTAAACTAATGCAGTAGTGGTAGTCACTTTGTAAGTACAGGCTTGACCAGGAAAGCATGCGATTTCACATCATAATATGACCACACAAATACTACTTGATTTTAAAACTTGACCGTGGCTGTTAATATGTTTTGAAAATTTTTATACATTTTAAAAGCGCGATTAAAATTTATCTTAACTATGAAGAAACTTAAAAAAAACCTATTGTAATAAAGCATATAAATCTTCATAAAAAAAATAACAAAAAAAAAAATTAAAATAACTTAACTAAAACTAAAATGAAAAAATAAATAAAAAAATTTAACAATAAGATTGTTTAAAATAAATAACTTTGAATCGTTTAATTTTACTGTTTTTATAATGAATATTATGCGAAACCCTTTTTAAATAAAGTAACAACTTACATCTAACAATTGTTAATTAAATGCGCACATTTAAAAGTTAAAAAAAAGATTCTAAACAATTCTTCGCAGTAATGTAAACAAAAGAAAAAATAATTAAATTGTTTATTTAAAAAGTTGATATAATTTTTTTTTAATTATAAAAAATATAATTATAAATTATAAGTATGTATTTTTCACTATAAATAACAATATTTTATAGTGAAAAATACATACTTATATAAATATAAAAATATATATTATTTATAAGTATTTTTATAAAAAACAATTGGCAGCAATTTGTTACTTTATTTAAATGCGTTTCAATAAAAAAGCATAAGTAATGATCATTATTTAATTCAAATGGTTTTCAAAAAAGTTTGTTTTTTTCTTTTCAACAAAATCTTTCTACTTTTCCAGTTTAATGATTCTTATATAAAATTTATCAGAGACCATCGCTGTTTTAAGTCGTTGCTTATAAAATTTAATTTTTTTAAATATTTTTACTTTTTTTATTATTTTGCTTATAAAAATTTTTTATATAATTAAATAATGTAAATAAAATTTTATACAAATTTGGGTAATACTTTAATTAACATCATTAGCTACTTTTTTTTAAAAGCGTTTTGCTAATATAAAAGTGTTAGTAAAGATAAACATGTCAAAGTTATTTATTTTCAACGGAAAAAAAATGTCCATTGAATTAGACATTATGTAATTAGGGAAGATTTTTTTTTCTAAACTTGACATTTTTTGTTTTCGCATGTTGATATTTATTTTACTTCACGAAAAGCTCAGAAACACATTATACAGCTACACACAAATATACTTTACATTTGGAGCATTGATATTTTGTTATCTTTTTGCACAATCTGTATTTGTAATATTGAGAATTTAGATTTTCCATTGGAACTGGATAGTGATCATATTTATCATGATGGATGTCCTTAAGAATATTTCTTGCCCTTATAGAACGTGTTCCTGGCAATTTATCATGATCTAAATCTGGTATGTGATTAACTCCATTTATTAAAGAGCTACATACTTACTCAACATACTCAACGAGTGGTTTATTTCCATCAATCTGCTGGAAAATCATCCAAGAATTAGTTGCTGCCAAACTGAAGAGATAAAACGCAACTTGATGATACCACTTTCTTGATCTGCATTTTATGATACAGTGACAAAAGCATATCTGCTTTGTCAACATCCCATAGAAGTGTAATGAATCTTGACAGAGTCGAGTGATATGATATCAATTTTTTATTTTGCTTTTTTGTCATACCTCTTGCAAGTGTTAATGGGATTTTTGTCAACATAATTTGATAAGGTGAACCAACTGTTGATTTGCATTCAAAGTAGACAAAGCCCGAATTTTCTTGGTATTTCTCAGGTATACCACTAGCTCTGGTGATGCTAAATAAATGAGGAAAAAAAAAATGGTGTGGATTTGGTACAAGATCATTAGACAAATGCATTATAACAAACAGGCTATCGCCAAAACCATTTGGATGGTCACAACTTTCAGAAGGAGCTATTGTATAAGACTACCTTCAACTTCATAATCATATATATACTCTGAAATTCTTGCTCTTGCCCATAATTTGTAACCCCACGCTTTTGGTTTCTTAGGAAGATTTTGGTTTCTTAGAAAGATTAATATTTTAAACATTGAGCCTCTTGAAAAGAATGATCTGATAAAATCTCATCAAATCAGTTATTAATTATATTAGTAATAAATAGGATTTGAAAAATCGACAAAAGTTTAGCATAAAATTGACAGAAAAACATACGCAAGGTTTGCCGACATTTTCAAATTTTGTCAAACTTTGCCTAAAAATTTGAAAAATAAACAGAGCATTTTACCATTTTATTAGAAATTTGAATAAAACATTAGTTTTGCTGATTTTATTTTAAATTTTTTATTTAGGAATAATAAAATATTAATTTTTTCCTTTTTATTTCAATAACAATTTAAATAAAAGGATTGGATTTAGAATTTAAATAAAATGATTGTTGTTTTATTTTAATTATTTCTTATAGCAATTTTCCAGTAAATTTACCTGTAAATTTAAAAACTTTTCTAGAAGGGTAAATTTTCATTCGGAAAAAAAAAAACTTTTTGAAGAAAACTTCAGGAAAACATTTGGAGGAATTGCACTTATTGAATTGTTTACATGACTTCAACCTATCTGACAAGTGTTACTTGCTTTAAGCACTTAGACATTGTCCAAATTAATTTGGAAGTTTGAAACGCAAAATGGAGCCTAGTATTCAATCAACCAGCCATTTTGACTCTACCTTCACTTTCAATACATCCTTTCAAAACACATTTCTCAACATTCCACTGAAAATAAGAAATGCAAAAAAAATATAATGCCTGCTTTGTATTTTTAGGTCATGATTTCAATGATGTGAGCTTCAAAATAATGAAGCTCAATCATAGAACTCATTAAATTAAAACCTAGAGACCCTGATGCATTATAAGCAAAACAAACCCTGTGAGGGGAAATTAAGATTTGTTGAAATTAAAAAATCAAAAAGAAACTATCAAAAAAAAAAACTTATACACTTCTAAATATAAATATTTTATAAAAAAGCATTGCTATTTAAGAAAAGTAATATTTATATAAACTGCTGATCTATGACTTTGTCATAAGTCAATAATTTATTATAGTGTTAGGTCAGCATTTGGCAATGCTGACCTAACACCAAGGGATGTAAATAAAAGTAATAAGCAATATAATTCTCACCTGATACTTCATTATGTTTTAATTGTTCTTTTTCAGATTTATCATTGACAGCTACATGTTTTAAACCTGTATTATTAGATTTTTGTATCGCATTTTTAGGATCCAAGCTTATTTTTGGAGACTAAAAAAATAAACAATAAAAAACATAAGTTATTTATCATTTATCAATTGTATTATGAAATAATATCCTGGATAATTATCTTACAACAGCTGTTTTTCCATTAAACCAGTCACTGGCATTCATTGCAGGCAAACCACTGTAAACAGTGTCTGGAAACAAATCAGCATGAAACTCTCTGTATGACTAAATATAAGAAACAGCATTTAAAATAACATTAAATATAATATTTGAAAAATTATGTAATAGAAATAAAGTATAATATAAAAATTAGAGTGTTCCAATTACAAAGTTTGAATCTCTTTTTTTTTTTTGGATGAAAGTTATTAAAGAAAAAAGAAAGGCATTAAATTTAATAGACAATCAAAAGATAAACACATTTTTTTTTTTTAAACAAATTTATCCTCAACATAACTACAACATGGCTACAAGTAATGACTATTCAACTTAGGAGTTAACAGAAAGCACAGAAGAGGGTTAAAAAAAGATAAAAACAAGATAAAGAACAAGAAAAAAAAGTTGCTTGTTTAAGCAACAACCATGGATATGTATATAAAAAAACAGTCTTAGAACAATGGAACAAAGGCTCAAATTTAGCAGCTAGACCAGTCCAACTGCACTTACAATGCAACTTGCAATTACATTTACAATCCAACTTTTGAACTTATAAAAGATAGAGCACCTCATTAGAAGAACCAGCCTAAAAACAACAGTATTCCATATAAGGATCAATAAGCGATTTATAGAGGCAGAGAATGAAATCAAGTGTAAAAAAGCACCATACAAAATAAAAAAAAATCTTAGCAGATACTAACTTTGCAATGGATTGTATGGTTTCCATGAGAGGTCAATAATGAAAAATAATCAGAGAAGACAAGCAGAGGACTAAGTAAGAGTGTTGTCATTCATCAATATCGAAAGAATATTGCAAGAATTATTTGCAGTAAATAACTGAGTTTTGTTTGAGTTTTTTCACTCCAAAACATTAAAAACATAAAACTAAATTTGTATATATTTAGAATCACCATTTTTTATTTTAATTCCATTTGGTTTAAACGAAATCTAAATATTAAAAAATAACAATAATCAAATTATAAAAAAAAATTTTTATTAATAAAAAGTAACCTTTCTTGGAATAATATAAGGTAATGGAGTTAACAAATTTTTAGATAATTGATATAGCCTGTTAACTTCTCCTTGCATGACATTTAAAACACGCTTAGGCACCATTCCAATACCATAAGTCTGATTGTCAAGATTTTGAACAGATGCTAAAAAAAATCTAGTATTGCACACTTCTTGAAAAAAAATGCACAACACATCAAGTTTAATATAGAAAATTCGAAAATTACATAATTACAGTCTGTAACCTATGCATAACTACAGTCTCTAATGTATTATAAAACCGTTTAAAAAAAGCTTATAATTAAAATTTAGTTTATTACATAAGGAAACTTGGTTGGTCTCTGTGTTGAACTCATACAATGAAATGAAAGAATCTCCCTTAAAAAAATCACATTTAATTTTCAATTTTACTAATATATATATATATATATATATATATATATATATATATATATATATATATATATATATATATATATATATATATATATACTATATATATATATATATATATATATATCAGTATATATATATATATATATATATATATATATATATATATATATATATATATATACATATATATATATATATATATATATATATATATATATATATATATACATATATATATATATATATATATATATATATATATCTATATATATATATATATATACATATATATATATATATATATATATATATATATATATATATATATATATATATATATATATTGTTTATTATATTTAATTTATAATTTATTTATATATTAAATAATTTATAGTTTAATAAAAATAGTCTATTATATTGATATTATATACTATATATACTATATATATATATATATATATATATATATATATATATATATATATATATATATATATATATATATATATATATATATATATATATATATATATATATATATATATATATATATATATATATATATATATATATATATATATATATATTGTTTCTAAACAAATTTAAAACTTAAGATGGCTCTACCACAGCACCTGCATATGAATATATATGTTACTCAATGCAATATACAAATTTTATATCTGACTTTTCTTCTATATGGACAAAATTAAATTCACTAAAAATTGTAATTAAAAAAAAAAATACTTTTCCAGCAACCATAATCATGTTTGTATCAATATCTAGGAGCGGCATCAAAGTTCTAAAGAAAGTTAAGGATTTTAAATTAACGTTAAAAAGAAAAATCAACATTTTGCACATGCAAAATTTATGCATTTATATTAGGGTGCATTGAATTATAATTAGGGTGCATTGAATTAATATTAGGGTGCATCATTGGGTGTATCATTAGGGTGCATTGAATTAATATTAGGGTGCATCATAGGGTGCATCATTGAATTATATTAGGGTGCATTAAATTAATATTAGGGTGGCATCCAAAAACAACATTTTTTAAAAATTGTTTTGTCTGAGTTCTAAATGTGTTCCTTATAATAAAATAACACTAAATTTAAAAATTTTTTGAACAAAAAATATTTTTCGAAGTGCCTTAAGACCCTTAACATTTAAAGGGTCCCTAATATATATGTAAAAAAAGTTCTTCAAAAGTAAGTCAACCTCATAATTAAAAAAAAATTTAAATCTTATTTGTTTTATAAAAAAAATATATCTTTAAAACCTTGTAAAAATGTACTTTTTTATTTTTAGTTCAAAACCAAAAGTTTTTATTAAAAATCATATTTGTTTTATAAAAAACATATTAAGGAAGAAAATACTCAAACTTTTATATAAAACAATTATTGTTTACAAAATTTTTATATAATTTTGCTTTTTTTGAGTACCAGGTTAACCTACTTTTAAAGAACTTTTTTTACATATATATTAAGGACCCTTTAAATGTTCAAGGGTATTGGGGCTCCTTTAAAAATATTTTTTGTTCAAAAAATTTTTAAATCTAGTGTTATTTTATTATAAAGAACACATTTAGAACTCAGACGAGACGATTTTAAAAAATTGTTGTTTTTTAATGCACCCTAGCTATCATTAAAGCTCATCATTATTTAAGACTAAGATTTGTAGCTTATATAAAAAAAATATCAATAATAAAAATTAAAAAAATACCCAGAGCCCTGGTCTACATAATGTTGAAAAACCATTGAACTTGTATTGCGTACGTCCCACAAACCAAGCATTCTCCCATTAGACTATACAAAAGTAACTATGTTTAACTGTTTTAAACTTTTATCAAGTTACTTTAGTTTTTATCAAAAGGTAAACATTTTTTTAAATAAAATTAAAAAAATAATAATAAATTCTAGGTTATAGATGGGACTACAAAAACAGCATCAAACCCTGTTACAAGTACTTTACATAATACACCACAATGGTACTAGAAATTCACAACAAACAGACCAATATAACACAACAAACACACCAATATAACATGACAAACACACCAATATGACACAATAAATACACCAATATAACACAACTGAGCCAAAATAATAAAAATAACAATAATAATAACACAAAATAACAACAAAAAATAATGTAGAAAAACAACATAAAAGATAACATAAAATTTAACATACTAATAGAAGACTACAAAAACTATTTTCTATACCATCAAGATTGTAATATACAAACCTCTATTTACTAAAACTTGTATCAGATTCTACCAAAATATGGTATAATCATCTTCATGTTGAGATAATGACATCAAAAATTTAAATAAAAGATAAGATTTTAATCAACAAACATTATTAAACTACCATTAGACATTACCTTTGCAAATCCTGTTCCAAAAATGTAGTCTGTATTCCCAATCCACAGTAATCTTGAGTCTTTGTTTCCTCCAAAACCAGCAAAAGACTACGCATAAAAGTTTTGTGCAAATATTTTTACTATATATTTTTTATAAAAGTATTTTCTTTTAAACTTTAATAACTTCGTACTTGAATCAAAAAAAAAATGTGTTGAAATGCCAATGGCAACTTATCAAAACATTATATTAACTCACATTTATTGTGCTCTGAGCTCTTGAATCTATTATGTTGTAACTTGTATCCTAAAAAAGTCTAAAAGTTATAACTTGTATCCTAAAAAGGTCTAAAAGTTACAACTTGTATCCCAAGAAAGTCTAAAACTGTTAGAACATAATTAAGGGTGAAATGCAAGAAGCAAACTTGAGTCAAGTTTGACTTGAACTTTACACCGTAACCAATAGTGGTAGAGTATTTTGTGAGGGGAAAACCCATACTCTTGGTTACAATGTAAAGTTTAAAGTCAAACTTTACTTGAGTTTGAATCTTGCATTCCATCCTATACATGTTAACTAAAAAAAAAGTAGGAACAAAACATATGTTAATTTCATTAAAAAATATTTATTAAATATTTAAAAAATAATACTTCTTAAATTAATTTCCTCGTAAAAATATATTGCAGAAAATGTTACTTTTTTATCACTTATATTACCACTTTTATACTTTTATCAAAGTTTATAAATATCTTAAAAAATCTTTGTAGAAAAATCTTGAATATTGCTAACTTTTGCTTTACTTTTAGACTTAAATTCAACCAAAATGATTTTAAGACATATAAGCCATTTATTTTGAAAGTGGCATAAGTCACCTTTTCAAAAAAATCAAGTTATTGATAACAATGATTACAATGTAACAGTATCTCTTCATTTGTGAAATAATTTAAACCAATTGTGTTGAAGATATTTTGAAAAGAAGTTTTGCTAGTTATTGGTATAATGGTATTTGTTAAAACACAAACTTTTAAAAACATGTTTAATAACAAAGTGACTTATGCCACTTTCAAAAACAAAAAAAATGGCTCATATATTCAACCAAAATAGAAAAACTTAACCATGGAGTTGTTGCGCACTCTGTAACCATCAAACCTTCCCATGGCACAGGTGCACACTTTATAAGACCACGCATATAATATTTAAAAAGCATTTAAAAAATGCGCTAAATAAACAAATGTAAACTTTACCTAAAATTAAAATTTTTTTAAAAACTATAAACTTGAAAGAGAAATAAAAACTAAAAAAAAAATACAAAACTAAATTTAAAAAGTTAAAATCTTAACGGATGATAAAATGAAAAAAAAAATAAACCAAAAAAAAAATAAAAGCATAAAATTAATGTTTTTATTTTAATTTAAAAGTGTTTCACTACAAACAATTTAGAAAAAAGCAATTGAAACATTTAAAAAAAAAAAATTAACTGTAGGATTTGAACCTTTAACCAATACTGATATATGTGCCTTGTAAATAACACAAATATTTAACCTAAGCACTACACCACCAATGCATTATAGGAAAAGTTATTAGCTTTAAACTACCGAGTGAAAAACTTTTAAATTAATTAAGTTTGAACTATTGAGATTTTTCTAAATTAAAAAAATATATTAATTTTATGCTTTTATTTTCTCTTATTTATACTTTATTTATTTTATCACTCGTTAAGTTTGTTTCTCTTTTTAGTTTATGGTTTGTTTATTTTTAATTTTCTCTAAAAATTTGTTTGCTTATTTCAGTACATTTTTTCAAAAACACACAAATTACCAATATATGCAAAAAACTGTGGCCAAGTTATCAAAAAAGAAATTGTACGCGTGGTCATATAAGGCATGCTACTACAAGCATCTCTTAAGAAGGCTTGGATATTGTTGTGAACTATAGACAAGTCATACAAAAACAGCAGTAGTCGAGTTTCCTGCACACTACCATAAGCCTGCACACTACCATAATAGCCTTCTATGGAACTTGAAAAAAAAAACTCATCTCTGGACTACTGCTATGTAAAAGAATAATAAACTTTTTTTTAAACCTTAATTTTACCACTTTATCATGATTCAAAACAGTTTTAAAGTTTTATCATAACAACCTGATTAAAGTTTGATTAGCAAACTAATAATTTAAAATGAAAATAACTAATTTACTGTATAATAATGGCCAAATTTCATGCATTTTTTCATTGGCAAATTTTAAAACTGTCTAAATACACTTATAATAACTATATAAGTTGAATTTCATGAAACCATCAAATTTAAAAATACAATAAAATATAAATAACAAATATTTTTATAGTAAATTAAAAAAAACACATTTAAGTGTTATAAAATAAAATTAAAACCATTTAAAAAAAGAAAAACAACAACAACAACAACAACAAAAAATAATATAATAAAAAAAATAATAATAATAAATTACTTTTACACTAATTTTGATAATAACGAAAGCTACAGATGTTAAGCAACAGAATGAAATGAAATGAAAAGAAAGCTACAGATGTTTATTCTAAATTAAATAAATAGTAATAAACAAATATATAACCAAGAAGACTCACTTTAGAACTAGTAACCATTAATGAACCATCTAATTTCCAATCTATACTTTGGGGATAGGTGCCAATCCCAGTTGTTGCTATTTGTAAAAAAAATTAAACCTTTGATACATAAAATTGAGTTTTAATTAAGTTCCTAATAAATACAATATTCAAAAAAAATTAAATACAAAAACACAATACAATAAAAAATATTGTATTGTATTACAAGAAAAATAATTAAAACATTATTTATTGGTATTGTATTGCTATGATGAAAAATAATTACAATAACTATTGTATTGTTTTTGTTTTAACAATACATTAAAATCCCAAAACTATTGTATTGTATTACTGTAATGAAAAATAATTACAATAACTATTGTATTGTATTGCAGTGATAAAAACCAGTTACAACAACTATTGTAGTGTACTGTATTACTATTTCAAAATCAGAAAGCTATTGTATTTTAATGAATTTAGTTTTTCCACGCAACAAGTTTACTAATATTTGGGTGCATAAATTCAGGCGCTCCTGTGACATCCATTTTTACAAGTCATTTACATATATAAATTTTATTTAGTTTAGGAAATGAAGTAAAGTTATTATATAACACAATAAATAATACATTAATTAATGGCAATAATTCAAGATAAATGGTAATTTAAAATGTCATAACGCGCGTTAAAAAACATATTATATTTGGTATTTCCCAATTTGTGTTGTATTTGGCATTTGTCTCTTTAACATGAAAAATTAAAAAAATTTTAAAACACAACAAATACAAACTTTCAAGCAATTTTCTCTTCCAATTTTCATTTTAAAAAATTCTACACAACTCTTATTCATTCGAAGTTTAATTACGTGAAACTTTTCTTTCTCTTTTGTTCTACTCTTTTATAAAACAACAACATTAGTTTTTCTCGGTATGCATTCATTATTTATTTTTAATTAAAAAAACTTGGTTCAAACGTTTTTTTTATACAACCTGTTCCTAGCAACCATTTACATATACAGATTTTTTTTTTTTTTTTTGAGAAGTGAAGTTAAGCAGGAGAAGCTATAGCATACTTAATATATATTATTAGGAAGCATACTTAATAAATATTAAATTGCTCATATTATATTTACATATATATAAAATATATATATATATATATATATATATATATATATATATATATATATATATATATATATATATATATATATATATATATATATATATATATATATATATATATATACATTTACGCTAAACTTATAAACTTGCCAAATTCTTGAAATCTGCAAAATTTTGCCAAATTTTAGATTTGGTAATGCTGTTGCTGAATTTGCGAAATACGAAAATTAGTATAATAATATATATATATATATATATATATATATATATATATATATATATATATATATACAAATAGTCAATACATCAAATATCTTATAGCCTGCTGCTGCTAAGGAGTGCTGCTGCTAAGGAGTGCCGCTACATTGATTGAGGGTTTGGCAAATATATAAATAAATATATATATATATATATATATAATATATATATATATATATATATATATATATATATATATATATATATATATATATATACATACATATATACATATATACACTACTTTTATTTTGTAATAATTTTATCAACATTTTTAGATTATCACTTATCAGGCCTGTACTATTAAATTTTATAGGAAGGGGTGTTTAAAAATTGGGGCAGTTTAGAATACCAAATAAACATTGTTATTGATTTTTGTAAAAAATAAATATTTTTATTGATTTTTGTATTTCTAAACTCTAAATATTTGCAAAGTATTGCCTGTCTGATGACAGCCTTGCTAATATTGTACTAGTATAAATCATAAAATATTAGTGCCAACATATTTCAAGGTTACATGGCACAGCGACTGGGCTAGTAAAACATTTTTAACTTTTAACAAAACATCAATTTTTTTTTCTTAGATATTGTTATTGTATTATAAAGATAAATAACAATACAATATTTATTGTTATTGTATTGGAACATTACAATAACATTTTTTTTAGATATTGTCATTGTAATATAAAGATGAATTACAATACAACATTTATTGTTATTGTATTACAACATTACAATAATTATAAATTATTATTAATTTAAATTGTAGATTATTATTAATTTAAAAAAAAATTAATGCAATAACAATATTTATTGTTTCTGTTACTGTTTTCTTTACAATTACAATAGTCTGAACCCTAGTAAAATTTGTCATAAAAATTACAAACCACTGATCTTATCAATTTTTAACAGCAAAATTAAACTATATATATAATAAATTAAAATATATATATATATATATATATATATACACAACCCTCAGAATTAGGGTCGGCAGTACCCTCGGAATTAGTGTTTGAGGTCTGCAAATATTGCTGACCTTGTTTCTGTTTTATGGTAAGACTTTTGTATCAAATTTTTTTTTACCAACTTGATGCTGACCTCTAAAAGATTGAGGTCAGCAAATTATTGCCTACCTCATTTTTCATTTTTATTGCCTACCTCATTTTATATATATATATATATATATATAAATTTAATTTAAATTGTTTCAGTTAAAATTTCAAAGAGTACATACTGCATTTCACATCCCCAGTAGTCAAATCAATTATGTGAAGAGAATTTGTTGCTGCACAAGCAAGCACCTAATTTATTATTACACAAGAATAATCAAGCTTTTTAAACTTTAAAATTGTATAAAAAAACACTGAATAATGTATTAAATAAAAAATATAAAATATAAATATTGTGATATAAATAGAAAAGAATAATTGAGTAAATGCAACAAAATTTTGGACAATTATGCATTACCTCGTCAGCTGCAGGGTTAAATTTTACAATGTCAATTTTTTTCTGTAAAAAATTTATTTGATATAAAAAAAATGCTACCTAATAAAAACACAGCAATAATAGTTAAAAAAACAAGAAAAACAAAAATATAAAAAAAAGATAAATATATAAAAACTTATACAGTATCTTTATCTGGATGTACAATACACAGTGCACTATCTAAAGTTTCATTAAAACTGTCAGAAACACTCCAGAGTTTTACCTAAAGTAACATTTTATATAGTAAATATTATAAGAAAAAATGTTTAAAGAAAAAAGAATACAATTAAGTGATATAATAATAAAATAATGAAAAATTTTCAATGAAATTATATATATATGATTATAAATTAATTTAAAATTTATCAAAACTATTTATATTTTCACAAAGTTGCAAGCAAGCAATATAATAATCTTTAAAGTTTTTATTTACTTGGAAATTTTTAAAAAATTTAAAAAACATACTCACAGCCACAAGCTTTTAACTTTAAATAAATCAAAAGAAAATTTGGGACATCATCTATTTATACTTGTATTTGGTGACATAATATTAAACTTACTTTTCCATCATGAGAGCATGTTGTTAATAAATTATCTTTAAATGGACTAAAACACATGTCAGTTACAAACTCTAAAATGACATAAAAAAATATATGCTTAGTCATAATTATAAATTAGATAAAAAGTAATAATTTAACCCTTCATTAATAATTAAAATTTATTAATTAATTGTGGGCTAAAAAGAATAAAAAGGTCTAAAAATTACAGGTTTTTATTTTACTTATAAGTTAAGGTAGTTTTGGATCCTTATAAATTAATTTTTTTTTTAATCTATTTGCATTTGTTATTATTATAGCTTTAAATGGACAGCGATAAAATGTTATTTTATGCTAATTTATTGCTAGCTTATTTTATAACTATTTCTATAGAAATTTTAATAATTGTAAACTTATGTAAATTGAGAATTTAATATAAATACTTAATCAACTTAAAATCTAACAAAGTTGGTGCAAAGAATTTTGTTTTATTATTTTATATTTTATTACTTTTTTTTATAAAAAAAAAGTTATAAAACTTTTATATTTATACAAAATAAAATTTTGTTTATTTGAAGCAATTAATATTTCTTGAACTTTTTTATTTTTTAAATTAACTTTTTAGTTTTGTTATAAAAATGAAAACAAACCTTCATGAGCATAAATTAATGGTACACTTTTATTTCTTCGACCTGTTGTTTCAAGAGGTAAAACAGATACACAACCACCAGCTAAAAAATTAATTTTCATTATATACAATATATGTATATGTATATATATATATATATGTATATATATGTATATATATATTTATATATATATATATACATACATATATATATATATATATATATATATATATATATATATATATATATATATATATATATATTGTATAAATTTTTTTTGTATAATAATGTACAACTAAATCTCTCGTTAGTTTAGAAGTGATCAATATTATAAAAAACAAACTTTTTTTATAATAAATCTGATATAATTATTTAGTATTAAAATGAAAAAAACACAACTTTTTGTTGGTACTCAGAGTTTCATGCCTTGCGGCAATCATCAGTCATATATTTTTAAATCAAGAAATTAAAAAACCTTTAAAAATACAAATTAAGCAATGCAATGGGATCTGACGTCAAAAAATTGATTATATGAAGTCTACCTTTACCATGTGTCAAATTGAGAAGAAGGAATTTATTTCTAATGCCGACATTTCGATATAATTTCAGTTTTCTTATTTAATAAATTGTTGTCGTTGTTTGAAATAATTTCATATTTTTCAATTAACCACAGGATTTTTATTATTATCTTTGTCCCAAACCTCGTTTGACAGCTCGGCAACAGCTTCGTTTGACAGCTTCTATACTTGGGGATATTAAATGATTTCAAACAGGTAGCATAGAGGTTAAGAATTACATCGAGGTAATTTACAATTTTGAGGTTGCACTGCATAGATATGTTAAGAACATTACATTTGAATAAGTACATGATATGCTTTTTAATTTTCTCCATTTGCTGATCAGTAGCATTTTTAAAAACTGCTAATCCATCATCGTGGTACAAGCCAGTCATATTTAGTATAAAAACTAGCTGAGATCGGACCCGTAAAAATACGGGTCTTTGTAAGTCTATTCCAAACCGAACTTTTTCACAATTTTTTCTTATATATCCTATCTTTCCGGATCCGTAAAATACGGGTTTTTACCAAACCTACTATTTCTATACATACCTATTCCACACCGATTATTTCTATACCTATTCCTTATTTACTTCAATACTTTTTAGTAAAATAATTTTGTTCTGAAAAACAACTTTAAGAGCAAAAAAATTACCATGTGCACCTTTTCAGCATACATAGAGCTCATAAGAGACTTATAATTAGGTTTGTTTTTCTGCTAAATGCATTTCATTGATAGCTCAGTGCTTAAGTGCGCTGTTGTCAGTGTTGTTTTGGTGGGTTTAAGACCTCCTCTCTGCATAATAAATTTTGAAATTTTTATAATCTTGAATATATATATATATATATATATATATATATATATATATATATATATATATATATATATATATATATATATATATATATATATATATATATATATATATATATATATATATATATATATATATATATATATAGCAAAAAAGTAATAATATAGCAAAAAGATTTTTACAATTTAAAATAAAATTTTAAAGTTTTCTCATTTTATAGATATATTATACGCAATTATTCCATATAATGCCTGCAAACTCAACATATGCTAAAGACGCTTACACTTACAGACCTTTGTACGTAATGCAATACAAATAGAACTAAGAAGATCTTAGTCCACTAAAACATAGTCATAAAAAAAAGTTCATTCTTTTGAATATGATTACAAACTAAAGAATCATATTAAATGCTAATCTAAAAGTTAAGAGAAAAAATTTTGCGCATTCACATTGGTTTATGGCAAAGTAAACCTTTATGCGCCAAGTTTCTTTTGCATTTATCTTATATTTTTCGATTAATTTTAATTTTGTTGCATACAAATGCATAAAAATATATTAAACTGGTATAGATATATCATTTCATGGATAAGAGATTGTATTAATTACAATAGTAATAAATAAATAATTTTTGTCTTTATTAAAATGTATCCTATAAAAATATATTCCATGTATCTTTAATAGAAGTTTTTTTAAAAAATTTAAATAAAACTATTTTTCTAGCATATTTTTGTAGTTTTTTGCCACAAATTGACGTCACATATGCAAAAAAATTGTAGCTTTAACATTTTATAAAAAAAGCCTTGACTATTATTTACAATGGTCTAAGAATTAGATGATATATATAATGACATAATGGTCTAAGAATCAGATGACATAATTTTAGAGGGACTAATCTAAAATTGAAGTTTTAAATTTGTTAATTGGATGAGACAATATGTTTTGTTAGGGTTCCCATTCTCTTCTTTTTTTCATAGGAGAATGCAGTAAAAAATTCAATTTTAATTAATTTAGCGCCACGTTCTCTTACGAAAAAAAAAAGAGAATGGAAACCCTATGATTTGTGTTTTTTCAACATAACAGCTGAGCAAAAAAGTATTGTAATTATTAGAAATGTTTACTTATATTATAAGCGATCCTGAAGCGATATATATATATATATCGATCAGGAAGCGATATATATATATATATATATATATATATATATATATATATATTTATATATTTATATATATATATATATATATATATATATATATATATATATATATATATATATATATATATATATATATATATGTATATACATATATATATGTATATATATATATATATATATATATATATATATATATATATATATATATATATATATATATATATATATATATATATATATATATATATATATATATACATTAGTGATGTACCGATATCACTTTTTTGGCTAATGTCGATACCGATGCCGATGGATGGTAAAAAGGCTGATACTGATGCCGATACCGATGAATTTACTAATTATTAAAAATATAAAATCATACAACTCTAAATTGGTACTGGTAAACAAATACTTGGACTCAAATCAAAGTTAAACAATTGTTTTAAAAGATATTAGAAAAACTCAGTTAAAAAAATATACATTTTTATTATTTTTTTACTATGAAAAGAAAACTTTCAAAAAAATAAAAACAATTTTAGATGAACGCTTTTTATTTTAATTTTAAAAAAAGAAAACATGCATATGCAGTTTACTTAGAATTCTTTATTAATTTATTAGTAATTTAGATATCTAAACAACAAAAATGTTCTCCTGAACTCTCTTCAATTTTCTCTTAACTATTTAATATGTGCTTGTCTGAATCTTGTTTTCCTGCCTGCTGGACAATGGCATCTGTTGTTCTAACTTTAAAACTCTGGTAAACTTACTGACCCCTCCGATTATTGTCCAATCAGTCTTCTTTCTGTTATTAGCAAGGTCTTTGAGTCTTTGATAAACAAATTTCTCACATTCCATCTCGAGTCAAATAACTTACTGTCAGACTATTGTAGTACTGTCGACATTCCTATATTGATGAATGGCAACCCTCTCACTGATTCCACTTCTTTTATTTGTCTTGCTTATTTCAAATGCACTTCAACCCTTTGAAACTCTGTCCCATCTTCATGTTTTCCTGACTCATACAACTTTCAACTTTTTAAGTCTTCTGTCAACCACTTCATTGCTCTATAACTCTACTCTTTTTTTCTAGAAACTCCCAACTTGGTAGTGGTTGCTTGAAGCCTTATTGGGAGTAAAAAAGAATTAAAAATATATAGATAACAATGTTTAAATAGGTTACTTTTAAAGCTTTTGCCTGTAAACAAGTCAAATAAAAATTTATCTAATAAATCTTAAGTAACACACAAAGTTTAGTTTATTTATTATTTAATTATTATAATAATGCTGAATAAAAATATTAAAATGTCATCGGTTAGAAAATTGGTAAAAAAGCCCAATGCCGATACCGATTCCGATTGTGCAACAAATGGCTGATTAAGCCGATGCTGATGCTGATACCGATTAATCGATACATCACTAATATATATATATACATATATATATATATATATATATATATATATATATATATAATATATATATATATATATATATATATTCAATTATTTTTAAATTTTTTGGTTTAGTGGTTTTTGTTAAGAGCTTTTAAATTTTGCGCCAAATTATCTTAATTCAACATATTTGTTGTGTCAACCATACTGCAGCCCTTTTTCAAAACACCTGAAGGTTAAAAAAAATCAATTTTATTTTTTTATAAAGTAAGCTAGTTTAGACAACTACAAACATTATTGAATACATATTTTTAAAGAGATCTGAAAAAGTTCATAAAAATTATTTGTTTCAAAAAATATCCCAACAAACTCACATATCTCTGCACTATCAAATGCACCCATTGTAACGTCAAATAAACCGCCTGACTTTTTCATCCAAACCTGGTCATTATTAAACAGTAAAGATTTCTTTGCATGAATAATAATTGACTTATGTTCTGTGCTTATAGTGACATGTTTTTCCGCAAAACTGATAGAATCGTTAAGGAGTTTTTCGCTAATTAAAAAGCAGGAATCGCCAATATCAAAAATGAGGAATTTATAAAGGTGTTTATCTTTTATATTTTTAAACCAATTGATAACATCTTGAGTGCTTTTCTACTGAGTAAGATGCTAAATATTTTTTAATTCAGAGTTTAATTTTGAGAGAATGTCTTATTAATAATTCTACCAATTTCATTTTTTGCTGGATTTATTAATATAAATGTTAGATTGTTTGTAAAATTAGTTTTATGGTCTTTAAACGATATGAAGTAATTAGAAGTAAATTTTGTTAAAAATAGTACGATCCTTTCAAAAATTTTTACCAAAATAGAGTTTTGTATTATTATTGTAATACAACATTAAACATCAATCGATATATATATACATATATATATATATACATATATATACATATATATATATATACATATATATATATATATATTATATATATATATATATATATATATATATATATATATATATATATATATATATATATATATATATATATATATATATGAATATATATATATATATATATATATATATATATATATATATATATATATATATATATATATATATATATATATATATATATATATATATATATATATATATATATATATATATATAT